AATAATAATAATAATAATAATAAGAGAGCATTTGTATCCCGCCTTTCCCCACAACATGGGCCCAAGGCATACATAGGAGATGAAAAACGCATTCATACTAACACCATACAAATTCATCATGTGCGCACTTTTTGACAGAGCAGCATTCTTTCAGACAGGTTTCGGTCAAGAGGGCCTAACATAGATCTAAGTACGGCTAGACTGGCAGGCTAGCCGTACTTAAGTACGGTTAGAAGACGGCTAGGCTAGAGCCACTTCATTTGTTTAATCAAAAGAAAATGTGAATGTATGAATTCACCGACCAACACAGTAGTAGGAACAATCATTATCACCTCAAACAGGAAGTAATGCCAGTCACAGCAAGACACATAACATACTTTAAGTCTACAAGGCAAGATGGGAAATAATTGTAAGAAGATGGGCTACTAGATCTAGAATCTAGATCTAGACTAGATCAGGATCTACTAGATCTATTTTATTATATTGTTATTGTTTGGTTGTGCAGTACTCTATTGGTACACAAATAGAGACAAAAATAGGAGTGGATGTCAACCCATATAATTAGTCTAGATCTAGTACAAGATAGATCTAGATCTATTAGTATAGTCAGAGTCACTTGTCGGTAAAAGGTAAGATTGATTGAAGAATACTGGACCAGCGGACTGACTTTGCCTGTCTCAACCTTAGGAATTCGTGATTTTCCCCAGTATTTAATATCTCTCAATGGAGAATCTCGTACCCGTCGATCTATTCATCAAAATTTCGAAGTGGCTAGCCGTACTTAAATGGAAGTGGCTATTCTCATCCGGGGTGAGAATAGAAAAACGATCTACCTCTCACCCCGGGTGAGACTTGCCAGCGTAGGCTATTCTCACCCGGTGCGAAACAAGACCTGCTTTTCCTCATTTTGGAATACTGTCTATCGGTGTGGATGATCAAATTGATAAAAGCCAAGAAAAAATTACGTTATAGCACAAAAGTAAGCTAATTTGATCTCGTCTTCAAAGATGCTATGGCTATTTCACTGTTCGAATCGAGCTGAACTATGCGGGTCGCCATTTTGTTTTGCCTGGAAGTTCTCGCAAGATCTACTCCTCCCCTCTCTCTCTCTCTCTTTCTGAATACTGTCTATCGGTGTGGACGATCAAATTGACCAAAACAAAGTTTAAAAATGATGTTAAAACACAAAAATAAATTAATTTGGTTGTCTACAAAGATGCTACGGCTATTTAACTTTTCGAATCGAGCCGAACTACGCGGGTCGCCATTGTTTTGACCGGAAGTTCTCGCGCTACTCCTCTCTCTCTCTCTCCACTACCCACAGACAAAATTGTATGCTTTTAGGCTAGTAGGCTACAGTTGTAATGGAGCGTTTGTTCACGGCACAGAATTCTACAATTTTTCTGTTATCACAGTGTAGAATTCTGTGGTTTAGGGTGAACGCAAAATTTGTTGGCCAAGATCTAGGCTATAACGGTGAACGCGCACCGGGTGAGAATAGCCAAAAGACTCGCCTGCACTATTCTCATCCCGGGTGAGAATAGAGGTGGCCTACTTTTAAATCTAGGTTTGGCCCAATCGACTCGAACCTGTTAAGTACACAAGTCTCATTAGATCAAGATCTAGATTTAGATCTAGTACTTAGTTATTCAGGTTTAAATAATTATAATGCAAGTCAGTAAGGCACCTTTTGGTTTTATCTGAAATACAAATACTTTAGGCTTTGCAAACTAAAAATTTCATTTACAATTCAGCCATCAAGTACAGCTAGCCTAGCAGCCTAGCCGTAAAGTACAGCTAGCCTCTTCCTTAAAATTTAGTCAGGGGGGAGACCCCCCTGAACCCCCCACCCCCTCCTCCGCTCGTTACGGAAGTCCTCCCTGTCTAGATATATACGAGTGGTCCGGTATTCTTCAATCTTCCCTCACTTGTCTCCCAGTTCCAGTGGATGGCTCCTCCAACCCATTCAATTACCATCATTAGGAGGATTTTTGCTCAGAGGAACCCCCAAGACCCGAGTCAAACTAGATCTACTGGTTTTCAGCTGCCATACAGAAATCAGTTAGAATAATAGGACCTGTAAAACTATAGTAAGATCATGCAATGATTTTCGAACATGTATTTTAAAAAAGGCCGCATGCAGTAAAAACTATTGGGAGGCACTGATGACTGATGAGAGAGAAACAACAGCCACAGCAGCAGTCAGCCAGTCAGCCCTTCCCTTGCAACAATGGCACGACAGTTCCGATGACGATAACGCCAGAGACCTTAACACAGGCTCAGCTAGAAAAAAAACGTCAATGAAACAAATACAATAGACGCTGACCTAAACAAATACCAAACTTCAGTTACATATCAGCCAGCAGCCGACTGGCGTTGGACGAGAGCAGAACTGTAATATTCCATGTCAGACAGAGAGACATAATGACCACAATTGTGCCAGGTACTTGAAATGTGTCATACAAGCCCGATTGAAATTCTATTTCCGCTTGCCGGTTTTATGCCACCGCTACCAAACTGATGAGGCTTTGTGCCAAGATCAGAAAAGTTGTGATACTGTCTTTGCCTTATCGTCATCGAATCGCTAACGTTCATTGTTGACGTAACTTGAAAAGGCCTTTCTAGCCTCAAGCGTTTTGCAAAGAAATCTTTTGGTCTTTCAAAAGGGGAGAAAGGAAATGCGATCTTTCTATATTCTCATTGGGCTTACATTAATGATTTATTTTATCTCCTTTGTAAGCTTCAACGTTCGACATATTATTATTAGATTCTATTATTATTATTATTATTATTATTATTATTATATTATTATTATTATTATACCCCCTCCCAGCCTGTAAAAAGGAGTACAGAAGAGAAAGTCTAATATATTAATAATATAATGTTGTATTGATTTTCCACGTTGAAAATGTTGCGGTGTGGTTCAATAACCTTTTGCGGCACACAATAATTTTAGATTAGCGCCATCATCATCATATTCCCTCTCTCTCTCTCTCTCTCTCTCTCTCTCTCTCTCTCTCTCTCTCTCTCTCTCTCATAGGACAAACACAGGGTGTATGAAATTAAGATTTTACAAAAAATTAAACAGATGAGCAGAAAAAAAGTATCCAAAACCAGATAGGTTATCGAGTGTGGGCCGTTTTAGAGGCAAAAAGAAGAAAAAGCTCGTCCGTCAATGTCTGACGATGACCAATACATCCGCAGAGCGGAATGTCTCAATCGAAATAATAACAAATAATAAGAATTACAAGAATTGAAGGTTACGGTGACTTTATAGTGGTTTCTGCCATGGCCGATTGGGCCAATTTTGGCAGGAAAAAAAGTTTAGATCTACTACAGTTTGAGAATCCGGAAGAGTCCAATTTAACTTGTGGATGTGCACGGCTTGCGGGCTTCTCTCTTGGTTTCAGCATTTTTCTTATTCGTGATTCGTGAAGCCTCGTATAATGACGTGCTGCCAATTAGGAGCTTAGAACTAAACTGTAAACTCCTTATTGCTTGCTGCTCTCTACTCTCTGTGACTGCTGCTGTCTGTCAGGAGCTGGACTTTCCCATGTCGAAAGATGTAGATCTATGTTGGAAGTTCTGCAGGGGCATTTTCAGGTTGTCGTTGTAGCGCTTGTGTGTCTGTGTGTGTGTGTGTGTGTGTGTGTGTGTGTGTGTGTGTGTGTGTGTGTGTGTGTGTGTGTGTGTGTGTGTGTGTGTGAATGAGTGGGTGATTGCGCGCTTGTGTGTCTGTGTGTGTGAGAGAGAAGGGAGAGGGAAGGGGGGTAACTGGATGTTTTTTCTCCGATAGCTCTTTTGGCCTGGCTGAGGTGTGAAACATGATGTTTTTTTTACGCGTATGTCGAATATATTTTTCCCCTTCAAATCGATAAAGGTGGCTAGTGTGCACGCGACATGAGAACCCGGGTGCGGGAAATAATGGTGATGTTACTGACTTATTAGTGAAGAGTGGGCCGCCAGCCCCCTGATTGAGTCGCAGCCTGATGACATGCACGTGTGGTTGCTGTTGTTGTTGCAGGAACGGGTGGAGAGAGAGAGGGAGAGAGAGAGAGAGACCTG